TTCTTTCACCTGCTTTGCCAAACAAGAGTCCAGGTGTGCAGGATAGCGGGTGGGGGAGCAGAACCAGGAGACTACCTAGAAGAGAATAAGTAAAGGCTTCTTATTTGACCTTCTATAGCTACAGCTGATATGGCCAACTGTCCATCCATCCACCCATCGATCCATCCCTGTATTTATTTTATTTACAGTATGTGTCACTTTCCTTACAGGAATGGGAGCTGAGGCAGGTTGCAGTACAGTTGAAAGGAAATTGAAAATTAACATGCAGTAAAGATGGTGTTAGAGGAGACTCTTGAGAGTCCCCTGGACTGCAAAGAGAACAAACCTATCCATTTTGAAGGAAATCAACCCCAAGTGCTCACTGGAAGGACAGATCCTGGAGCTGAGGCTCCAGTACTTTGGCCATCTCATGAGAAGAGAAGACTCCCTGAAAAAGACCCTGATATTGGGAAAGCGTGAAGGCAAGAGGAGAAGGAGATGACAGAGGACGAGATGGTTGGACAGGGTCACTGAAGCTACCAACATGAATCTGACCCACCTCCGGGGGGCAGTGGAAGACAGGAGGGCCTGGAGTGCTTTGGTCTATGGAGTCATGAAGAGTCAGACATGACTTAATGACTAAACAACAACAAAGATGGAACCATCAAAATATTATTAAATTCATTTGCTGAAATCAAGTAATGTAAAGTTATGCACTGTAAGCTTGATGATGTGACCAGTGGCAGTGGTTTTCTGACATTTGAGACTGCCTGGACTGATGTCCCCAATATCAAAGGTAACCTAAGAGAGCCTAGGAACCAGGGGGAAGGAGGATAGGAAACTTGCTATTAACAAAATGCAGCTGCAGCTGATATTGTCATCAGGCTTATATGGCATAACTTTATGTTACTGGGTATCAGCCATAATGCTAGGTTTTGTTCTTATTATATTTCCTTGTTAATTTTATTGTTTGTTTCTGGGTGTTGCTGTTTATTTGTTGTTAATTGGGGGGGTTAACGTTGATCCACCCCTCCTCCCTTGAGTTCGGCTTCACTGCCATGGGGGGATTTGGTTGTTTGAATTTTCATTAGTGTAGCATTAAATATTTTATTGGGTAGTGATTGGGGGGTTTGTTTATAATATTAACAAGCAGAAGTAATATATATAACTACATACATTAAAAAGTTGATTATTTAAATTGTAAAGCACCTATTTCATTTTCTGGAAGTGAGTTAGAAGTCTTTCCACCCTCCCCTCTTTTTTCCTCCCACCCCCACCCCCTCTACTTTTTTGCTTGTGCTTTGTTTACTAGGTTTTATTTATAGATAGTTTAAAAGAGAGTAATTTATAAGGAGCCAGTTCTTGATTGGGCATGGGGTGCCACCTATTGGCTGGTTCATTGATATTACAGATATTTATTTTATTTTTATTTTTTTAAAGGGATTTGGCCAGAAGACTTCTGCGCAGCACCCCCTGCTGGCTGGCAGCTTGTTTGCAGCTTAACTATATTGATTAAGCAATTCTAATTTTATTATAAATAAAAAGGAGAGAAGGGAATTTACATAGAGCTGTAATACTATTTAATAATAAATAAATAAGCAAGTGCATTAATAATTTGACTAATAATTACTGGCTGTATCAGTAATACATTCAGCTATTATGGCACCTAAGAAAGGAGCAGGAGGTAAGAAGGGCAAACAGCCAGAAAAGACCCCGGTTAAGGTGACTCCTGTACTTCCTTCATCTGACGAAGGGGACTGGCCTGATTACAGCACTATCCTTGCTAAACTGAGTGAGCTTGGGAGAATAAGGGCTCTTGCTAAGGAGGCTTCTAGTGCTGCTATGCCCAGGAGGTCAAGCAGGGAGTCCAAAGCATGCAGAATGGCTGCATTAAGGCAATTAGGTGATGTAATGATGTCCTGTATTGTTCTTTTGGAGAAAGAATGTTCTTCAGCTTCTCCAGCATGAAGTGATTCCGTAGAGGCATCTATTAGGAGTGAAGTGGAGCATGCACAAGAGTCAGCGGCTGATATTCTTGACCAGTCAGGAGAACCACGAGTTGAAGAGCTCATTGATGCAGGGTCAACTGTGCCACCCAGCAGGCAGATGGGCTTAGAGGGTGCCGTTCCTGGCACCAGTCAGCAGGCATATGATTTGCCTTCAGCTGGATCGGCAAACATGATGGTTGTACCCCCAGGTGAGTTTGCACCGACATATCTTACACCACACATGGGAGGCATATGGCCTTGGGGTATGGTCAAACCACCTGGAATTTTTCGGCCAGTCACTAATGCACTTCCTAACAGCTTTGGGCTTAGCCCTTCCACTCCAGGCAGACCTCTTTTGGCTTCAAAGCCATGGATGGCTCCGTATCCACAGTGGTTAACACCTTGGCGGAAGCCTGGTTTTGTTGAGGCTTCTCAGCAGCCTAACTACCCTGTAATTCTGAATACAGGGTATAACTCTGTTCCTAGAAGTTCTCTGCCCTGCAGTGACCAGTCTTTAACTTTAGGTGATCACCTCCTACCAGCCACTATAAAAAAATATGACAAGGCAAATACATGGACGTATTTGAGCTTTTAAATAGAAAGGTTGAGGAAAAGAAAGGTAGGAAGAAAGAAGAGAGGGAGAAGGAGCAATTTAAGAAAAAGAAAGCAGATAGGTGTTGGGCGAACTGGCTGATGAGTTTTTTAATTTACGCTGGCACTATCATAAAGGCGTATCCAGACCATGTCTTCGCCCTTCTGCAATACATTGATCTTATATACTGAGCGCATGTTGACTTCCCGGGCCCCACTTGGTTACTTTATGATCAGGGGTTCCAGATGAAGGCTGCAATAAACCCCCAGATGCTCTGGGATGTCCATCATCAAGGGCTATGGTTGCAGCTCATGACCCCATCTCACCCCATGTCGGGTGAGCACTTTGACAGTGGACACTTGGTTCAAAGAGCAGCTAATCTAAATTCTCCCCGCTTTCAGCAGGCCAGGGGGTTCAACCCCACCTGGTTTGCTGGGAGTTCAATGCAAAAGGTTTCTGCAACCGTAAACTGTGCATGGGTGTTCCACATGTGGGGGCAACCACAGTTCCATGTCCTGCTTCCAGTGACAACCTGGAGCAGGAGGGGGAAAAGATGGAGGAGGGCCTAAGAGACCTGCAGCAGGTTCAGCCACCCCTTCAAAGGAGCCCCACTCCAGTTAATGTAGTTGTACTGGCGGATTTTATCCGGAGCAGGAGTCAACTACTTATTTGCTAGATGGTTTTACATTGAGATTTATAATCCCTTTTCAGGATATTAGATATGCAACCCTAGCTAACAATTTAAAATCTGTTAGGGGTATGGAAGAGTTAGTGAGAAGAAAGATTCAGAAGGAGGTAGCCGAAGGGAGGGTATCAGGTCCTTTTGTTGAACCTCCAGTCCCAAGTTTGCGTATTTCCCCTTTGGGGGGTTTCCCGAAAAAAATGCCAGGGGAATCTTATTTAATTCATCATCTTTTGTACTCTGAAAGGGAATCTGTTAATGACATGATTACCCAGGAGATGTGTACAGTTCGTTACACATCTTTTGATGCCACAATACGTATGGTTCATGCCTGCGGCAATGTGGCGGAGCTGGGGAAAGCTGACATTAAGCTGGCTTTCCATTTGCTGCCAGTTCACCTGGGTGACTTTGAATTATTGGGTTTTAGGTTTGATGGACTACTGCTAAGCCAGCTGGTTAATTGGGATAAAAGAGGCCACAACTTAATTGATCACAGTGGCAGTTATCTTGGCCAAGCATTAGGTTGGATACAGCTCATCGGGAGACTCTCCTCCAGACCACTGTCTCCCTGAGAGACCACTTGGGTTGGCAGTTCCCTCTGGAAACTATACAGATGTATGCCACTCCGTGACTCTGCTGCCATCCAGGAGCATGGGCAATATCCCTCCCCGGGCAGACCAAGGCCTCTGCCCCTGGTTCTCATGCAGGGATTTCTCCTCCACCTGGGCATGCAGGTCCCCACTTGCTGCCCCAACAACCAGTTGGATCTGTCCCAATGCTGGAAAACGCCACTAGAGCTGTGCCCCACTCAACTCCCACCAGATCACTGCAGCTGTAACCAACTCCCCATGGCTGTCCTGACATCAATGAGCCACATGTCATGTCTTTGGTCTGTGAAATGTGCCCTATCATGTCAGTAAAAAGAGTTAATCTTGTGGGAGATGTTCTAGTGTCTGCTCCAGGTACCTCCCCCAGGTTGTAGCCAAGTGATGCACTGCCCTGGTGACCTTTTGCAGGGCAATGTCCATATGCTGTGGATCACATGCACCTCACAAGGCCTGTCTCTCCAACAGATTGGACCACATGACATGAATGCCAGGGTAACAATCATGGATAAACTATAGCCTAGCCTTTATGGAGAGTAATAGATCCAAATTATTCTGAGTGGTAAGGTAATTATTTCCAAGCTGAATCAACAGTATGTCAGGCAGCCCATGCATTTGAAGCTGGCACCAGAGGACTGGAATGAGGCTGCCCCAGTACATGCCCCTGAGTCTTAGCCAAGTAAAGTGCAAGTCCTTGCAGGAACCCAAATGCTGACCGGAGTGGGAGTTGGCAGCATACCTTCTGGCCCAGTAGATGATTCTGTGGCCCACTGACCAGATGTGCTTCCATGAACCTGTAGGTAGAGCTGAAGAATAAACAGTGTTAGAATGCTGACTGGGGTATGCAAATATAGGATTTACAGGGATTCGATTGCCAACTCCCAGTCCTTTAGATCTGCTCTGAGGTTAAGCCCATAGCTGCTGCCTGTGTTGCTGCCCCTATTCTGAAGAAATCTGAGGCCCTTCAGCCATTGGCCATTGCTTCAGAAAATGCTTCAGGGCGTTTACAGGGCAGGGTCCACCCCCTTGTTGGGGACAGAATAGAATCAATGTGACTCACCCTTTTTTTGGTCTGTTTTTGAAGAATGGAGGACAACAGCACAAGGTCCCATCCTGTATCAAGACATCCCATCCGCTGAGGACCCTGACCACCCTGTAACTGCAGGAGCCAGCTACTAACTTGCCCAGCCTGAAGGCTCTGAAAAAAATCAATGTGTATGCCACCTTGAACTCATGCTTTGTCCAGCAAACCTCCAGTAGCTGTTGAAGCAAGGCTGTGAAAATATTGAATGTGATTGGCACATTCCTTTCATCTGGTAATTTTGTCTGTGTCCTGTCCCAGCTCCTCATAGCCCTCCTAATGAGAAAAGTGCCACCTGGCTCCCTGAAGCCCTGCACTTGTCTGAAAAATGAAATTGTCATTACCCATGTGCATAAAGTCCTCAGCCCCCTTTCCTTGGACTGGAGGAAGGAGAGATGCTGGAAAATAGCTGCTTGAATTGCTGGGAGACCTGAAGAGTGCCCTGCTTGGAGCAAGAAAGGGACAAAGGAGTCCATGGTGGAACTGTATGCTCGCAGGGTGGCTGATGCCACAGAATCTAGTACTAGTAAAATTCCTTGTGCTACACAGTAGAAGTACAGGTAGAAGTACAGAGAGCATAGAGGAGGATAGCTACAAGCTCCCCAAATAGTCCACCTCATTCTCATTAATTGGCACTTAAGGTATTTGTAAATGAGATTTGTAGAAGTTCAAATAAAAATGTTCCATTACTTAACAGTTGTGAACAGATCAACACCAAACGAACAAACTGCTTCCAACAGAGAGAAGGAAAAGACACTCAACAGAGGCAGAGCTCTCTTTGAATTCCAAGGCAGAAGGCAATGATTGGTTAGTTCGGGGTAGACTGACAGTCATCCCTGCCCAGAAGAGTCCTTCCTCGTCACTCAAACCATAGGCATCATGTGAGACTATAGAAGCTTCAATGCTTTTATAGACATAAAATTTGCTATTTCTGTCTATAGCAAAGACATATTTACTATTGTTGGGTGTAAACACAATTAAACAATGACAACAATTCAATGAGTAATTAAAACTGTAAGAATACTGCTGACTATAATTTTATTCCTATGCCAGGATGATTTGTGATAGGGGCAAGGAGATGTTCCCAGGATTTTGAGATGACACACACACACACCCCATTCTGGTCATCAAGCTTCCCTGCCACAATAATCATTGTAAAAGATGAGGATAATATTTTTAGAATAGCGATCGTTGAGTTAGGAATACAGTAAATGTTATTTTTCTTTGACTAAAATGCACAAAACCAAAATAATAATTCCATAATCTCACGTTAGCTTGATCATGATGTACCTGCCTGAACCCTGATGAACCCTTTCAAGCTTCTTTAAAAATACATGGAGAAGCTGAAGCGTGGCTGTGTGTGCTTAGAAGCCCTGCGATTTCACCAAATAGTTGGAATACTGCTTACAGACATGCAAATCTCTGCCCATGTGAGAGGACTGGTATTGTTTCCCCTCACCTGCAGAGTCATTGCATTTTAGGGAGTGGCCTGAAATAAAGGGGAGAGAGGCTTTTCCCTCTTTTCTTTTTTAAAAATGTTACAAGGGGCTGATACTGCCAATGGCTTTCATGGGAGCGCCTCCCCAGAGTGTGCCTCTTAGCATGACACCCGTCAGTCAGTCTGATTTTAATGCTTCTGAGATATGGGCAAAGTACGTCTGTACTGACTAGAACCCCCACCAGCCCCTGTCAGCATAGCCAGTGATGGTGAGGACTGCTGGGAAATGCAATCTAGCAACATCAAGAGAACTGTTCTTTGCTCAGCCTGGGGCTCAACCCAACATTACACCTCCAGTGAAAGCAATGAGACATCTATCCGTTGTGACTACCAAGTCCCCTTCGGTTCAGTGGGCTTACTCTACTAACTTTGGACTTGGCTCAAACTTTTCTCCCTCGAGAACCAATGTGACTTTCAACACCCTAACTGTGGCTAGATCAGGCTCATAGATGGTAACATGCCATAGCATTCTGAATTGTCTTGCTCCTGCAGATTAATGTGGCATAACTCTTTTGTAATACTCAGAGGTAAGTTCGATAATGATAAGATCAAGCATGCTCTCTAAAACGTTCATCATTCAGAAGGAAAGCAGGCCTAAGTACAAACAGAACTAATGAATTTTATTTAATACTGGCTATCACTGAATAGCAGTATAGCAAAGATAATACAAGGAAGCATCAGAGAAACCTATTTTATAAAAGTAATATATTAAAGTGTCACAGTCACACATCACTAAGGAGTATTAGAAGAAGGGCTGTGTTTTTCTCCTACAGTAAGCAACTGCTTATTTCATGGTTAAAAGTGGCAAATTTCACAGCACATTTTCCCAAAAAGACAGGGGGAGATGGCTGAAAATTAACTCACCTGTTTTCTGGTGTTTTAGAAGAAGCCTAGTGACATTAAGTAGAGTTGAAACAACCTGTAATAACCATACAATAGTTTCATTCAGAGAGATAACGTATTGTAAGGCAACTATCATCATTGTTGTTGTTGCCATTATCAGTACCACCAATTCCACCACCATCAACAGTGTTTGCCGTCCCACAAGGGTATCAAATTAATGTATATAATATGCATTAATTCAGGACCTGCCACCAGAAGAACATACGTGACACCCAATGCACACATATCAGCCAGGACAGATAAACTGCCTGCTCACATATGCTCTTCCGTGGTTATGGTCTCCAGTGTTCACGGTTGATTCCATCATCAGTGTAGCCACACTGGTCCAGTCTTTGGAAAATCTTAGAGTTCTCCTGCAGTCAGGACCCATCTCTGATGACAGCCATTTCAATCATGGTGCCATGTGGAGGCTTGCTACTGGCCAATATGCAACAGTAGAATTTCTAACTTTGTAGTTTACAAAATAGCACAGATCAGAAAAGAAGCATGCTGTGGAAAGGTGTCTACAGGACCAAAGTAAGATTCCTCTTATGTTCATTTCAATATTAAGGAATCATACTGCAGTGCTGGAGAAACAATGATGGGGACAAAAGCAGAATTACATAGATCAGCTCTGCTCTGCCTACCATTAGCTCCAATTCTGTTTACTGGAGGGTTTTTTGTTTTGTGTTTGTTTCTTGGTCCATGGCCAAAATATATATTAGCTTAAAATATCAACTGTTGCTTTACTTCCTGCTTATCCTGGCACATCACTTGATTGTGTTTTGGCCTCTCATATCCTCTCATCATCATAGCACAGTGTGGCAAAATAAGCAAAAGCCATATCTATCTTCTCAAGTCTATTTTCTAGACTAGCAATTGTGTGACCTCAGAATCCCTAGAACTCCAAAACTCCCCTACCCCTGCTCTTCTTTCTGTCAAATAGGTGCTGTTCCTGTCGTATATTCTAGTTTATGTATGCTTTCTTAAATGGGGGGGGGGGGCTCTTGGTATTCCTAGGGGCTGCAAAATTGATGTGAGGCCACATATTATTCATGCCTCCAACTCACAGTAGTTGTGTTCACATACATACAATGCAAAAATATTACTTAATTCAGCTTCGCTCAAGGTGGCATCCTCCAGTTATGTTGGATGACAGCAACAATTATGCCAAACTAGGCATAATCTTTAAGTTGTTGTTTATGAGCTGGTTTGTTCAAATAAACTATAAAGCTGGCTGCCATTCCCATTTATACCAGAGCTAAGGAAGTTATTTTTTAAAGTAATGTTTTACAGTGTTTGCTAAACATTGTCATTACTCATAGCAATTTTGACACAATAAGTCATTCCACTACTTGCAGTGATACAAGCTACTTTTCTGTTACTTTCATTTCTCTAAAAATATCAATTTAGGATAAGTTAGAGAACTGCATAAAACTTCACATATTCCTATCTGTGTCTGTAAAAATGCCTTTAAATGCTGAAGTAAGTTTGAATGCAATTTGAAAACATTACTTATTCCATCAACAGAATAATCTTGGTCCTGTTTGTTATGGTAATTTTGAAGCACAAGGTTTTTATACAGTTATTGCTTAAAAGGGAATTGGTGATTATATTATTTATAACTCATTGGTTTCAAGCTCTGTTTTATACTACTTCCTTATAACCACCTCATTGCATTTCTCATTGTTTTGCTATGCCTCACTCGTTAAGTATGGATTTATCCACTCTTACTTGTCCATTTTAGCCTCTGTTCTCTATCTACTCTACCATATCCTTCTTTCTCATCTTCCCATATTTTCCAGCTACCTCTTTTGTACTGGAATTCCTTGTTTTCAGTGTCTCATAGGTTCAGTACATAGTGAAAGTCTCTTCTCAGTTCTAACTTAGTTCTGTGTGGAATTTACAAAATTTACAAATCAGCAGCAGTAGCATCTTGAAAAACAGAGTAACCAATAAAAATAATCTAATCATCAGTAGCCCATGAACCATATTTTAAAACCGTACTTTAGACTCAGAATCTTTCAGCCAGTTCTAATCAATGCAAATCAATTGGCTAGAATCCTATTGGTCACTTATGATGTCATCAAGTTTTCCTCTAAGCTGGGCATATGTGCAGCTGTGCATGACTCCGCCTCCCTCCGTGCGGCTCTCTTCCTTCTCTGCACAACAATCACATTTAACTCCTTTGGTTCCAGTTGCAATGGAACCCTGCACGTGGGTGGGTAGAGTCACATGCGCATGCAGGGAACAAGTTGTGTGTGTGAGAGAGGCATAGCCCCACCCAGCAGGGCTAAAAATTAGGGGGTACATTGGATGGCATAATGGCAATAGCATAAATTGCATCAACAAATTACACTAGTTAACAAGTCACCGTTTATGATCTTCACTGCCTTCCAGTTGCATTACTTGGTGCATGATAAGGAATACAATAACTCTTTGAAGTAGCAACAAGTCACAATTGTGATTTATGCTACTGCACTTACACTGATGTAAACAGCAAACAGGATTCTGGCCTTTAAGCTGAAACCAGGAAAAAACACTCCAAGACTGAAATGCAGCCAATTCTCCTTCAAACAGAGTTAATGACAGAATATACATTAAAATTAATGTAGGTCAAGCAGCATTTGCATAAAGAATATAATATAATATTGAACAGATCTTGTGCAGTGACAGTGCTTTTAAACAGAGAAAAGAAACAAGGGGATAGGAGTGACACTACCAAGTTAGCATGGAATGAATGTTTATGGTAAGGGTGAGCAAAGTGAAGTCATGGGAGACATATGGCCCTCAAGACCACTGAGGACTCCATGGCCTCCAAAAATGGCCCCCTGCCCCCCCCACAGAAATCAATTTTGTAGGAAAAATATGGATATTCCACACTCACACTAGCAGTTTTTGTACAGGTGTGGGTCCACAGGGCTAACCCATATTTTTTAAAAAAATGAAACTAGAAATGGGTGTCTGGTCCATTCTTTTGGAAGGCGGTGGAGCCATTGGATTATTTCCTGGTTTAGTGATCACTTTTAAGCTGTTGCATAAAGTGTAGCTAAGAATGTGAAGAAAACATTGAGCACCCTCTCTTGCATGACCATGCAAAATGCAATACAGTGGTGCCCCACACCACGATGATAATCCGTTCCCCTGAAATCACTGTTAAGCGAAAACATCATCCAGCAAAAACAGTTTCCCCATTGGAATGCATTGAAACCCATTTAATATATTAACATATAATATACTTTTCCCTATAGCTTCTGTGGTGTTGTGTTAAAGAAGTTTATGTGAAAATTTTGAAAATGGTACTAGCTTTCTATAGAACAGTGATGTACAGGTCTAACTCCTTAGATGTTACTTGACTACAGCTACAAGAAGGCCTAACCAATAGCTATGATAGTTAGGGCTTCTGGGAATTGTGGTCTGAAAATAGCTGAGGTCCAACTATGGGAATCACTATGTAACAGAGATAATTTTTATTGGTAGTGTTTGCTGGATATTCCCTTTTAGAAAGAGCAGTGTGAATACAAGCAATGAATAACTATGTTTAATGGCCAAAAACATTGTTAATTCTACTTTGTAAATGTCATTTTTGAGACATTACAATTATTGGTCATATTTAACAAGAAAAAGAAGGAGAAGGAGAAGGAGAAGGAGAAGAGGTAGTTATAATTAATATATTATTTCCAAGCCCTGGAACAAGCTATCTTATTTTAGAAACAAAGTTGTAACAGGAAGCTACAGCAAACCAGCGCAATCAATAAGTGCACTTTAGTAGTCAATAGAATGCATTTAGTTACTTATTTTTAGCGTTCAAGAAGAATAATTAACCACATTTCTTCTTTAGTATTTACATTTCAGAAGGAGATGGTCCCCTAGAAGTTTAGCAACTATATATTATGAGTGACTCCTTCCATATAAGAAAAGGAAAATTTTAAGTTTGTATGAAGTTAGGTTATTGTCACAGAAGATGCAATGATGTTCTGACAGAAAGGCACATTAAGTACAGCTACTCAGATGTAAGTCCTTTGAATTCAACAAGAATTACTCCCAGGTAAATATATACAATTTCAACCTTAATTTAGGATTGACTATATTTGTACCAACATAGATCACATCTGAGAATCAACCACACAAACCTCTCTTTTCATATGAAGAGAGAGAGAGATTTTCTTAAGTTGTGGATCTAATTTATATGCAACATCTGGATGATACAAATATATGATGAGATTAATGGTTATGCAAAGTAAGTGTAGATCAAAAACTGGTTCCACTGCTTTACTGAAATATGTTCTTCTTTAATTCAGAATCATCAACATGGTTCCGGAGGAGAAGCTAGCCCTGCCATGCCCTTATTGCTTTGATCACACTAGCAGGACTCTTTCTGAAGAAAAAGGAACTTGCTCACTTGTGGATTCTACACATGAGCTAGAAACCATGTTTTTGAGGGTTCTTGCTCACATGTAGAGCGTACACACAAGCAGCAGCCTTATCCTCTTCAGAAACATTAATTCTCACATAAATAGAGCAACATGGTAGAGGTGAGGTTAATGGTTCCAGACTATGGACTGACTGAATAGATCTACCATCGCAGTAAAATGTTATATGCAGAGTATGATTTCGCAGTTCATATTCACTACTTGCCCAAAAGCAGACAAAAACAGAGATAGAAATAATATTCAGTATTAACAGTTATTGGCTGAAATCCAGTAGTAAGTCACAACTAGAGTAGGTTTATTAAATCAGTGGGAATTTGGTGAGTCAACTCTTTTGTAAATTCCAGTGATTTAATGGGCTTACTCTAGCTGTAACTTACTACTGGATTTTAATCTTTGCATTAAGGTTACATAATTAGCAAGCCATCTGCTTATTTGGCTACACAAATTTGGAGACCTAGGAAATGGAACAATATCACCTAACAGGAATTGTTTGAGCTTCAGCCATGGACCAGTCATACAACAGAATATCAGAGTAAATGAATTCCATCATTATTACAATGTCACTTCTCTTTGCATGTTTCGTAATTTAATTTAAAAGGACATCATCTAGATTCTCATGTCTGGTTAGGTCATGCGTAGCAGACCCTCACACTGTTCTCATGTTTGTTCCTTCAATTTTTACTCAAATGCTCTTGACCAGTGTTCCATGCTCCAATGCATGAATCTCCTTAAAGTCTTTCTTGTACAATGCTACTACTCCTCTCTTCTTGTTTAGCCTATTCCATTTGAATAAATGATACTCTTCAATCTTTGCATTCCAGTAATAGGTAATAGGTACCTATTACATCATAGTTGTTTTCCTGTACTCAATGATACTCTCTTTGCATTCCAGTAATAGGTAATAGGTACCTATTACATCATAGTTGTTTTCCTGTACTCAACCTCAAGCTCGCCTTGCTTCTTTTCCATTCCCTGCACACTGAAGTGAAGACATTTTTTAAATGGTGGGTCTCCCCCCACCTCACCCTGGGCTGCTTCAAAGTTGCCTTCTCCTCTCCATTGGCAGGTCTTTGTACCACCTTACCACTCTGTGGCATTCACCCTCATGCCCCTTTCTTGACTGTCAAGACTCAGAGCTCATGAAGGCAAACAATCCTCTCTTTTACACTGCTGTCACCAGGTGATCACTAAATCACCATTACCTCAGGAAGATTCAGGCCCACATTTCAAGGTCTTTTAAATAGAAATTTTGTTTATTGATTACAGAGATTGAAATTGATTCATGAATATCTTCCGTAGATAAAGTTATTATTAACAACAAACTTCTAATTGGTAGTACACTCCTAATTCTAATCACACCTCAGAATTCCCCAAACTCCACACTCTATCCTTTCTCTCACACTCCACTCTTACTGACTCTTTTACTCTTCTCTCATACTCACTCTCTGACTCCGCCTCTTATAGCATCTCTCTCAGCTCTGCCTCTCAGCAACATGAATATGCATGAACCATTACCTAACAAAACATGAACCATTGACCTAATAAATGGGGAACGCTACACACTCTTATTCCCAGTATTTGCCTCCTTTGCCACTCTCTGGCACAGACAATTTTAAAGCCCTCCTAGCTTGTTTTAAATCAAACTAATGGATGCAATTACTCTCCAGATTAATCCAATTTAAATGGCACCATTCCATAGGATGAGGGTCCATCCCCTGCTTCTTTTCTCTGCCTTTAAAGTGGCAAGATTTAAACACAGGACCATTATTTTTATCTATGATAAAGCCATGTCTTTATGAAAGAATAAAGAGAAAGCCTAACATTTGCATCCAGCTGTAACACCCTTTGGAAAAAATATTTACTGGATAAATGAGATGGCAGCATCTGACAATATCTGTATGCATGGAAATGTCATTGTTTATGTAACATCTCTTGAGCAAGAGAGCAGTGGCAAACAAAGATGTGAAATAAACCATGTGTAAAATGTGAGGAAAGCTGAGCATACCACATATATATGTCCCCAAGATTAGATTTTGATAGATAAATATAGATATACTGTAGATTATACAGAAATAGATATAGATGTAGATAATGAAATGTCTTAGAAAAGCAAACATATACATTTTCTTAATTGTCAACTGTGTACGACTTTGGCCTTAATTGTGAGCAGTGCATGTTATGACAATCTGAAAAGCACATGGGATTTATTTGGCTGTTAATGGAATTGTTTGAAAAGCCTGAAAATTTGAGACCGTAGCTATTTGATCAGCAGAAGGCTGGAGATGGTCCTTCTCCCTGCAAAGTATGGTGAAATTTAACCTTTTAAAACACTAGAAAGGGAAAATACCTTATCGTTTGTTATTTGTTAATAGGAAGCAAGATCTTTTGCTTACAAAGATAGACAAGAAGTTAGGAAATAGTCATAGAAATGTAAGCCCTCATTTCTCTCATCCTCACAGGCAACATGGAGACACTATACAGTACTTGTCATTTTCAAAGACAGCACATGATTTAATTCTCCTCCCAAGTTGCTTCTTGCATTTGTGAGGAATGTTGTTGTTGCTGCATAAAATAAAATAATAAACAAAGCAATAA